TTCTCTGTGTGCTCTGGCTGCTGCTGGTCGCTGCTTCTCCACCCTTCTGGATCTCTGGTTCGGGCTCAGTCTCACGCTGCGGAGCTCAGCTCCTCCGGACTACACTCCGCCTTCTGAGCTCAGACTGAACTTTGCCAGGTTGGTGACTTTCAGCTCATTATAATTCCCTGATTGAGCTTCTGAGATATTTATCTGAGTCCATATCCCCGCAGCGTATCCGGTGAACCCGAGCCAGCTGATGAGCAGCCGCACGCAGCTTGTTCAATAAACTCGTTTAAAGCTTCACTGTCTGTCTCGTCTGAATTCTGGGTCCAAACCTCAGAGCTCCTGACACCTCTTCGTCGTCGCTCTGTTAGTACGTCATATGCTTCGTTGATCTGATTGGTTTACACTGGAAAAACCATCTAGAAATATGTAAAAATGTCTTAAATTAGGTGTATTTACGCTTAATTTGAGCAGGTAAATAAGATTATTTGCCAATGGAATGAGTATTTTTACTCTTAAAATAGGATAATTAGATAATATGCGCTTGAAATAAAACAATGTAATTGTGTTTTCTTATTTTAAATGTAAATTGTCTTGTTCTATTGGCAAAATGTCTCATTTGCGTCCTCAATTCAAGAACAGATGCAGTTATTTTAAGAATAAAACGACTCTAGATTTCGATTTTTTTCCAGTGTATTTTGTCCGTCTATCACCAACATAGGCCAATCAGCTAACAAGTATCTTCCTTCGTGAACATTAAGTTACAAGATCAACTTAAAGTACAAAGCTAACGAACCCACAGATTAAAATATGACTTATTTTCCTCATGTCTAGCCAGACTTTCATGTTTTACAGATCTGTCATTAGTCGATGACTAAAGAACTTCTGTTCCTTTGAATTCTTTAAAATTGACTTCATAAAAATGATCTAATATTACATATCTATAGAAGGTCTGAATCTGAAGTTATTTGAAAGAAGAAAGAGAAGAACCAACCTGCCTCCCTGAGGGTTTCAGCTGGATAAGGCGCCTGTGAAAACAGAACCACAGTTAGAACCAGAAACCAGTTGGATCTTTTGTCTCCTTCCTTTCCTGCTTTTGGTCCAAAGTTACTCAGTTTTCTACCGTTTGCTTCGCATTAATGCGCTCGGCTTTTAATCAAAGTTAATTTCACTCACAGCTTCTACAGTCAGGAGGCCGATGACGGAGCCCAGGAGGAACACCAAATGTAAAGCAGATGCCATCTGAGGACAGACAATATTTAAAGTCCTGATTTCATAAAGAAACTTAATGATGGGTAAAATAACGTTAAAAAAAAATCTGAGGTGAAGGAATAAAATGGAGAGGCTGCTGGATGTTACCTTTGCTGTGTGTAATCCTCAAACAGATACCCGGTGAAGAGAAAGGACAGGAGCTTTAAAAACTGGGGGCTGTCTTTAATCTGGAATGATCAACATGTATGGTGACACTTCACGTTTTATTTTGAGCAACAAGGAAATATGTTGCTTTAACAGGAACCTGTTCTATTTATGCGGAGAATGCTTCTCTGTTGACATGTTGCATGATTTCCCAAACCATTAAACAGCTTCATTCTTAGTTATTTGTTGAAAGACAAATACTGACAGGTTGGCTATATAAAATACATCAGCTTAAGGAGGACCATTGTTATCTTCACACTTCAGTGGATTCTGGAATGTAAATTTGTGAAGCTCTGAAATATGACATGCACTCAAAGAGCAAAAAAATGCACCAAACTTGTATTTCCTGTAAGATGAGTTTTTTGATCCAAGAGGAAATAGGTTTAATGCATCCTGATTGTAACGCTGCCAACAGCGCCTCTGGGTTCATACCGTAAAGAAGGACTCTGAGGAATTTATACATTTTCTCAAACATGTTTAAACAATTTAACGCAGAGTCTCTGCAGGAAATGTTCTGCCAGGAAATCTTCATCTCACTGACTTTCTCTATCAGTTCTTCAGCATTCGTCTGGAGTCGCTGCGTTCTTCGTGTCAACAGGATGTTTGCGTTAACCTTGCAAATAGCTTCTGCTCCCGCATTTGGATGGAGGATATGATAGAGAAACGTTTGTCATATTTTATTCAGCATTGACTGATAAAATCGATTATTACAGTAGATAACAGACATGTTAGGATAAAGAACTTCTAGTTACAATATGTACATTTTTACAGCATTTTCACCAGAACTCCAAATCATTTTAGTTACTAATGGTTGGTGAAGTAAACAGAATAGAATAGAATAGAATAAAATAGAATATGTAACCCACAATTAGTCAGAGACTTTTATTTTTTCAGGCCCACTTCCTGTGTTGCCCCAATTTAGTTAGCTCCTTTAAAGCCCCGCCTCAAGCATGCAGTTAAAGGAATAGTACACCCAAAACAT